TAAGTAAGTAAGTAAGTAAGTAAGTAAGTAAGTGATGTGACACTTTGGCAGTCTGGTAGATGTTTACCAGTGTTCCAGGCCAATGTGCTGTCTCCATCTTCAGAGTATATTCACAGTGTACATCTCAGAAGACAGCATTCTTCAAAGTCACTGCTGTGAGACCCTCAAATCTAACATAGTCAATTAGGTCTGGATAGTGTAGTGGTCCGAATAAGTCTCATCTTTCCATCTCTATTGAATTGTTAAGGTTATGGGGTTTCTGAGATGTTTGATAGGCAGGTACCAACTTTTTGGAGGCATCTCCTCCAGCTTCAGGATAGAATATTTTACGTCATCATGCAGCAGTTCTTTGAGAGAATGCAGTTCATAGTGGATTGCAATGGTATTCGACCAAAAATATTCTGAAAGAAGGATATATTTATAGGAATATTACCCCATACCCCCTGTGGAAGCTCATTTTGAAGAACCAAAGTGTCTCTGGACACTGCAACTGCTGTGATATGCAGCACTGTTACCATGCTGGTGGAATTATTATGTACTCTTAGGCAGCGTGTACATGAGCACACAAAATGTATCCATTGTAACCAACGTACTTTGCTGAGGACACCAGACAGTTGCAGAATGCGGTGCATAGTTGTTTGTCTGCAATGGAGCCAGAAGAAAGCGTAGCATTCGCCTCTCTTGTTTATTCCTACAATGGACGTTACAAAGCTCGTTACAACGGACGCATTTTGTGCGCTTGTGTAGACGCTGCCTTAATGCAAATGATTCAAGGCTTTTGTACATTACAGTATGTAAGAAATGGTGACTAGTGTTAGAAAATATTTTACAATTGGCGATGATCAGGTTCTGCTAGGCATGTCATGATTCTGTTTTCCTTATGCTTAGAAGCTGGTTTCAGTTGTGTTTATTGTTATTCCATATCTCATGACATAATACATATGCATCATTTTTCACTATGAGAATGATAAAAGAACAGATTCCCACATATAGCATACATTCTGTTTAGATGCAGAAAAATAGATCTCAACAAAAATGTCACCAAGGTGAGAAAGAAAATTGTAGCAGGTATAGAATTTGAACATAAGAACAAGATAGAAGCCATATTTTGTGTGATTCAGTAAGAATTTTTCTGTTGTGTCCTACATATTATATGATCTGTGGCTTGACCTTATATTCATGCAAATATGACAGATGAGATGCTGTTCTGTGCCAAAGAAACATAATGAGTCTAAGAGTCAGACTGAGATTAAAGAATTTATGGATTTAGTGAGCCATTGCTTCACCTTGATGTTTTGTACAGCATTTCATGAAGAGATATTTTGGAATGTAATGAACTTCAGTAAACTGATAAAGGGTTTAAGTGGAAAATGTGAGCCAGTCTTTATTTTTTTTAAACACTGATGTTACATTCTCCCTTAGATTACAATTTTAAACAAATGTCTCACCAAATGTTTATCATTTATGAATTTGGTGATATGCTGTGTGGAATAATTTTTTTAAAATAAGCTTTTCTTTCATCAGTCTGGTCTATGGATTGTTTATGTTTGAACAGTGACTCTACGGGTGACTGATTCTTCAAATTTCATTGTATAATCTATGTCACTGCCCACCATATGGTGCATCTGTATTCAAACATGCCATCCTCATGATGATGTTAACATTACTACCTCAGTCTGGATGCGGAAACATTTTCTTATCTGCTGGTGCTCATGCTGTTTGGTTCAAGTAACCTTTTTGTGTTTGGACAGCTTTTTAATTAGATATGTCATTTGTTGAAGCCATGGATATGAAAAGAAGACAGCTCCTGTTTGGAAGTTCACTTATATCAAGATATAATGACCAGAATTTTTGGAAAATAATACAACTAGAAAGACATTTCAGCCTGATCAACAGGATAATCTGTAACAGACTTACATTTATAATGGAAGCAGTATAGTCTACAGCTAGAATAAGCCCTTACAAAAGCCCTATATGTTTGTGAGATGTTTGAGAATGAAATATGCTGAGGCTGGTGATGAGGTTGTTTCTGGGATGTCATTGCTGGTAGATTGTGCACAATGAGCTGAAGTTGACAAATATAAACAATTCTTCATTGTAATATAGAAACATAAACTTTTTTCTTCTGTGGGATAGTAAAATACTTTTCATACTAAATTTAATTTCATTCATATATTCCAAATTCTGGATTTAATGTTAGAAGGGAGATTCATACAAAGAAGTTTTCATCTTTACTGCCAAATTGATTATCAAGCTTGATATATATTGTAATTTCACTCTGACTGATGATTTGTTTTCTATATATTGTCACGATTTTTGGTGTGTGACTATAGATGGGGTATGGATTGATGAATGGATTAATTCACCACTTGTATACACCACTAGGAACTACACTTTACAGAGGGCTGACACACACAGACTAGTGTTCCCAGTCTATTTCACTGTCCACTATCCATTTCCTGGCAATGGCTTCTAACATGGGAATTCTTCAGCTTCCCACACACATTTCCTCTTGTCCCAGCCACCCGTGCAGAACTCTTTGTCAACTGACAACTCAACTAACTGGGTCCCATGCTGTGGCCATTTCACACCAACCTCCTAGTCTTCTCTTCACAGGCTGATTTTCAAATGAACTGCAACCGAACTCTCTCTCACTCACCAACCAGCTACTTCATGTCACTTCACTCAACTGAACTGCTGACAACTGACTGCAGCTTGGCTGGTGTCCTCGTTTTATAATCTCGGAGTGGACCCATCAGAATACACTGTCTCCAGCAATCCTTCTAGTGTTGTCATGGGCAGTTGCCTAATGATAAACTGGATATTGTTTCTGCGAGAAATTTACTGATCCATTGCTTAGCGATGGCTGTTTTATGACTGTTCTGTATGTGACTGAATTCTATTTTATGAACTGTTCTTGTGTATGTTTTGATTTAATTGTGACTTGTTCTACATCCTAGGTTTGGCCAAAAGGGTTTATTGAATTTAAAGAATAAATGAAACTAAATGGCTGTTCTTGTCCATTTTGAGGGCTCTGCCCAACAGTGTGTCTGTATGCCACAATATTATTGGTTTCTTATGTTTTAATGTCCTATTTGAGTTTCATGGGTTATGACATTCTGAACAATGGAAATTTTGCAAGTTTATGACTGAGTCCAGACTACCCTTTCACCCTGTCATTCTTTCTTACACCAGCTGTTGAAATGAAATCAATAATAAAGTCTTCATACTGACAAACATAATGTTCACTTTTTTAAAAGTTCACTGTATAGTGCATGTGTATGCCTGGTGTTTGGCAAGATACCACGTGGGAATACTGCAACTGACTAACCCACATTTTAATGATCTTCACTTGCCTTTATGTATATCCTTATTCATCATATTCTATTGCTATTTCTTTTGTATAAGAGTTATCCAGCCTGGTTTTTTTTCCAAGTTTTGGGGTTTCTAAATATTCCCTCAAATTTTAACAAATTTAATGGTTCCCAGAATTCAGAACATGATATTTTTGGGAAAAGAATATGACAGTGATAATGATGGGAAAGCTTACCTGCTAGACACTTTGGATGCAGTAGTTAGTAAGCACATATGCTACTGGGAGAATGTTCTTCACTTCTGTCGGTAGTCATTAGTTCAGTTGTTGGGAGATCTGTTCTCTTTCCCTTCCTCTCAAAGACCATCTCCATGCTCCACCCCTCCTCTCTTCTGTAGTTTAAAAGATTAGCTCCATCTAGGTCCTAAATACTTGCTCAGAAAAATGTTTCATCTTCATGAATAATATTTTTTATAATGAAGTATTTACATAAATCCTCAAATAATCACACAGCAAGCATTTCAGGACCAAATTTTGGAATAAACGTGCATGAATTATTTGATGAAATATAGTACAGGTTTAGTGATGACACCACAAAGGAAAATATTTTATTTTCAGTATTTTCTGGTTCATATCTTGGGCACATATATGTATTCTGTGTTATTTAGTTTTTATAAAAACAGTCTGGAAATACTTGTATAGGCTATAGCACTCAGCTTGGATGTAGAAGCACTAATGTAAAGTAATTAAAATTAATCAATGTACAAATGATTAAATTTGGGTTTCTTTTGGAGTCTTAAAAAAACTGAATTTGTCTCCTTAAGTTCATCTGAACATGGAGCAAACATAACAATATAATGAAAAATATTTTATTATTATGTGGTGTTTTCATATGCACTACTGAAATAATGTCTCAAATTGATGTACTCTGTTTCCTGCCCTCCTCATCCCTTCGCTCATAAACACAAACTTCAAACTCGACACCAGTTGCTTCATCTTTCTGGACACCTCTTGGAACCCTGTTATCACCAATTTTATCATTACTGACTCTAACAAACAAATCTTCATCAAACTCTTCTGGAAAAAATACATCACAAGGATAAACAGCTTGGATCCTAGAAAGGTAGAGCCGATGAAAGTACTGTGAATTTAGAGCTGCCCGATAGACCTCTGCTCCACCTAGCACCCACACTGTGTCAATCAAGCCTTCATATTCTGGATCTGTTGATAGCCTTTTCACTGCATGATCCAATGATGCACATACAATTGTGTTTGGGTATGTCAATGGTTCTGGTGGATTGAACCTGCTTAAAACAATATTTAGGGCACCAGGATGGGGTTTTGACACCACTGCATCCATAGTTTCCCAAGTACGGTGACCGATGATGATGGCATTCTGACAGTTGCTGCTGCTAACATGGGGTTTGGTGGTCATCTCAAGGAAGTAGTGGAATTCTGAAGGAATATTCCATGGTAGTTTCTGATTCCGGCCAATGCCCATGTTTTGGTCAGCTGCTGCGATAAGATTCAGCTTAACAGGGGTCCAATTCTCCATGATTTACTGTGTCTGGTCTGAAAGTACAAGAAACAAATATGGGAATCTCATGCAAATCCTGTAAGTTGTAGTTAAAGCTTCTAAGAAGCTCCTTTCTAAAACAAAATCCTGTCAGGAATGGCGGTGTACAGTCCATGTTTCAGTTCTTTGGTACATATCATGGCAGGGCCACAAAGTCATTGAGGTCCCATTATACAGGAAGATCATGGTCCACTCAAAAGTACCAAGACAGTACCCAGATATTGAAGACCAAACTGGATCCAAAATATATAGTTTTCATATAAGTGTAGTAATTTAAATAATAACATCAGAAAGCCTGTTTGAACCTAACAGGGATGAAACTGGGAAAGGAGAATATAATATAAGGAGCTTTCTGATTTACACTGTTCATTCATTGTTAGAGTAATCAAATCAAGGAGTTTATGATGAGCTGTACAAGTAAGTTGAATGAAGGAGACAAGAAATACACCCTAAATTTTTGAAAGTGGTCTCTTGGAAGGTCAAAAAGCTAACAGAAGAACAATTTTAAAAAGTATATTTTGAGAAAAAAAGAGGTAATGGTAGGAACTCAATGGCAGATATTGAGATATTAGCAAACTAGAACACTTGGTTTTTGTTACTAGAGTGTTTATTGGTTAAGCTACCTTGAAACTACAGTTCCTGACTCAGTCCAATAGTAATGTGATAATGCCACACTGATTTACACTTCTCTTTCACGCCCTTTCATTTCTGTCATTAGATTAGTTAACACCACTGTTATGTGTAAACAGATTAGCAAATGGACACCGCAAAAATAACTGATCTTTGTACAGTAACAGCAAGTATTGGGCAACATCCTATCGTTAACGAGTCATAAACTTTAGTTTCATTATAATGTCCTTCCTTAATATATGTTCATTGTCCTGTTCCTATTTTAACTGTCCAAGATATATTTACTTACAAAAGTATCACAGGATCATAGGCTAATACACTGTGACCTAAGCCAAAGAAATGTTTTCATTTAAATAGACCCTAAATATATTGCAATAGTTACACCATCTTTCTAAAGAAAATGAATACAGCTCTATAAAACAGCAACTGTAAAGAACAAGAATGATATAACAATAATTTTACTGTCATGTTTCTTGCTAATAGTTTACCTGATGAATTATTTCAGTATGTCTCCTGATATATTTCATACAGAATCACTAGGTAAGTAAAGAACTCCTTACAATGCTTCAGTTTTATTCCCAGTAGGGAAGGAGCACAGGGCAACATTCACTACAGACAGCTGATAACACTTATGCTGACATACCAAAACTATAGTGCTTCCTGGAAACATCAGTGTGACAGTGAAAGTGATGCTAATGACAGGTGTGTCAAAACTATTCTAAAAACATTGGTTTCTGAGCTACTTGTGGGAATAACAGCAGCAGTTCTATGATTACTTTTGCTGCTTTCTGAATTTAAAGATATCAAAACCATACTACCTATTAATGATTGAAATTACCTTTTTTTTTTCTTGCAGAGTAAATCGGCAGTTTTTGGAAATAATTTAATAAATATGTCACAGATAAAAGATCAAAAGTATGGTTGTTTTCCTGGATGAAGAGCAGAGACAAGGTGTCTGAAAACAAGTTTATGAGGAATTCTGGGCCTAGGAGAGATAATGAGGGAATGGAGAACTTATGCAATAAGTAGCTTCACAATTTGTGATCTTTACCTAATATACTGAGTCATTAACACAAGTAGATGGGTGTGGCATGCAACATATAAAAGCAAGAAATGCATACAAAATTTGAGAAGGAAAGGTTCAAGGGAAGTGCCACTTGGGAAATAGACATACATGGGAAAAAATACACAGTGAAAATGTGTGTAGGACTAATCTGAATCTAATGACAGGGGTTTGTGAGCATGGTGATGAAACTGTAGGCTTCAAACAAAAAGGGAATTCCTTTCTCACCTAGATAACAAACTATGTAAAGATGCTGAAATATTTACATTCGTATGTGCAAAGCAAATTAAAGATGCTAAACATGTTCTCAGTTTACTTTCTCGAGACTTATAAAACAGAAATCATCAAAGTATTGGAACTGTTATTCACTGAGAAGTCAAGGTCAAACCAATGTGGAATTATGCACCTGCAGAACCCAAAGATCACACTGGCAAATGCTTATGTTCTAATGTCATTAAGTGTCTGTACATTACACTAGAATCCTGTCACCTAGTACAGGAAAACTTGCCACATATCAGCCATACTCCTTCCACATGGACAGGTACATGTGTTGAGAAATATTCTATCCACTGCATTACTCTTCTGTCACAGCCTGTGTCCTTGGGCTTCCATGCATTCTACATGCCCTGCCTATCATTACTTTTTTGATTTGGTCATTTTAATAATACTAGACAAAACGTATGTATGGTATCAGATTCACTAGATCATTGCATGGTTACTGTTACCTCCCACTGTTCATATTCATGTTCATTTATTTCAGATTCAAGCAGATTCGATCTGCGTCTCCAGTAGGTCCAGATTGTCTTCGAAGTTCCCTTTTTTTACATGTTTCTGGCATTAATTATTATAATACAGCAGAGCTTGAAAACTTCAAGCATAACTGTTTGGGTACACTGCATGTGTATAGTACAGAGAGTGTAATGTTGCAAAACATTTTACTTTATAAATTTTCAGCTCTTTATGTTGGACCCAGAGGTGTCTCATACATTACTGTAGTTTTAAAAACAGAATGGGTATTCTTATATAGTTGTAGTACTAGGGCTGGAAGGGAGAAGGTTAAAAACAAAGTTAATTCTCGGCAATTTTATGTGAAAAGTGATGTGTGACTTCAAAAGATAATTTTGTTAAATTACAAGCTGAATAAATGTTTATTTAATTCAGTATTCAAATGTAACCATCATCAAAATGCATGTATGTTACTATAATTCAGGTTAATTTGGACTCCTTGATTTTTACATATCCAAAACAGAGACTGAAGGAACCTTCACAACATCTGAGAGAGCCAACAGCAACATCATCAAATGCGGGGCTTTTAGAGCGGACACAAAAACAGGATGAAGGGCTTGCCTTGCTGCGAGAAAGACTCAGTGGACAGGTATAGGAGCCTTACTAACAATTTACAATAATGTGATGTTGCAAAGAATTTCTGTATAAAAAAACCAATGGTCATATTAAAATGACATATGCTATAACAATTACCAACCTGGTTAGGTTCATAATATAAACTATAAAATGTGATGCATCCATGGTATTTTCATGGTTACCATTCACATTCTTCTAGCTCATAGTAATGGGGCTGTCAAAACAACCAAAGGACCACAGTTTCTTCCTCATGTCCACAAAACTGACTGCAAGTCTTCAATTCCAAATATACTCAGAAAAACACCTCACTTAGCCACAGACAATTCTCTCACCAAAGAACAGCTTTGCAGTTGGTATAATAAGGCTATGGATACACATGGAATACAGTAAACAGAATAGACAGAACATAAATACATCAAGTGGTCTAGAGTAAAGTACATGTTCCAGTCAACACCAGACATGGAGAACATGCAGAGTCGCCTGGAGGCACAAGAGAGGTTCTGGAAGTCAAGACTTAAGCAAATAGAAACTGAGCACAAGAGAGAAATGGACAGACTCGGAATTCAGCTGAATCAGGCCAAAGGTAAGAAATGAACTCTTACAGCTAATAGGAAATCAGAACTCACTGGCTCAATATGACTGAGCTGAGATATGCAAAGTATCTATGCATGTGTCTGTGTGTGTTCATTAGTCTATAAGACTAATACATAACCATTAATGTCTTAGTAAAGGTACATTTTTGAAGTGCTGATATAATTTATCAAGTAATTTCAAGCTTCCAATTATAAATTCAAAACATGTCACATTTTAAGATTCTATAGCCAATTTCTAAGCTTGGTAACAAAAATTTAAGAGAAACTCTTTTCTGTCTTACCAGAAATTCTTAACCAATTCCTTACCAGTGACCCAACTAAACCATAGGCTTGCAGTGATTCAGTCTGGCTGATGCTTACAGACTGGTTTTCCGTTGCATCACCAAGCAAAATATTTGATTTTCAACACTTTCTGCTTCTGACCTTTAGAACAGAGGTTTATCTGTTAAAAATGTATGTACCATAACCACATGGCAAATCTTGCATGGCCTGTTACATCGGGCTTGGCAATGAAAGGACTAACATTTTAGTCACTAATTAAAAATATGCACAGCTTTAATCCTATGACCATACACTCAGTTGAATAACTATCAGTGAATTGAATTGAATTGAATTTATTTACATTCTATAAATCCTAAGCAGGTTAGTACCTTTGGATACAGAACAAGTCAAAATGTTACATACATAAGTACAGGCAATTTTAGCTTAAAAATTAATATAACTTAATTTTACATCATTCTCTATTTACATTGAAGTATTCATCTAAAGAGTAGAAGGAATGAGCATGTAGATAATTCTTTAACTCTGATTTAAACTTTTTAGTATCATTGCCCAAGTTTTTAATACTTTGTGGCAGTGATGCAAGGAAAATCCTATTCTATCTGACATATAAGATATTTTTAAAAGTGCTTTAGTGTTATAAATTATTGTTCAACAAATTCATTTTTGGAAATTCTCTGATATCTTAATGATGTGATTTCAGAATCTCATAACAGCCATTATGCCATGTATGAAAGCAATATTCAAGAATTAATGGCTCATATTGCAAGACAAGATGAGACACTGAGGGCTCAAGAAATAAAAATTCTTCATCTCACTCAGCAACATTCAGCAAAGACACAACAACCAGAAAATGCACAAGTTGTTCTAGAAATGCAACCTCAATCAAGTGAAAATGCCACCACAGTAGATCCAAGCATAACATTCACAGAACTCACTGCTAGAATTGACAGAGCTATTCATGCCAATAAGCGGCCACCAGATGGAGTAAATACAAGGCAATCCACACAGTCACCAGTTAAAGGAGAGACCAAATCTCATACCTCACTGTCCAGGAGACCACTTTCAGTTAAGAATGTTGCATCTCCTGTAGACAGCAGAGGTGGCCCAGAGTCTGTGAAACAAAGTGTAAGGGTCACAAACATCACAACAAACTCAAAACATTCTACTGAGAGCTTAATGGTTGATCCTCAAGATGAATCAAGCTCTGATTCATCACCCCAAACACTGAAAACCAAAACTGGCATGACTTCAATGTATGAACTCACTGACCAGGAAGTGAATACTTCTGACAAAGGCAGGAGTCCTCAGGGATCCAAGGATTCTGGCTTGGATTCACCCAAGAGGTTCTCCACAACACCCATCAAAAAAATTAATGCTTTCCAAGGATTATCTTCAATTAAAACTACACCTGCCATAGGTAGTAGCAAAGACAGAGTAGACCATGTGAATGAGGACACAGGAAGTGAAGATGAAGCAGGAGGAGAAAAAGAAGAGGAGACAATATCAGATGAAACAGAGACAGAAACAGATAGTTGTCCTGCATCTGTTCTTAGGTAAGATATGCTCAATATCTGAATATGAACTCAAATTTCATTACTCTATTTGAGAAATGAATCCACAAGCTTTGGCTTATTAAACTGATATGCTGGTGTGCAACAAACTGACTCTCTCCTGGCTACAATTTCCCACCTTTTCTTGCCACTGAACCACTTTAACCAATGAGGGATAGTCTGTTAGGCCTGCCATGATCTGAACTGGCCAATGCAAAGAGGCTTTTGATATATATATATATATATAAGGGGCAGTCAAATGAAAATGGGTCAGAAGACAAAACATATTAAAGAACATTTCTTACCTCAAAAGTAATCTCCAAAACTGTTAATACATTTATCCCACTGGGAGATAAGACGGTCAATCCCATCCTTGAAAAAGCTTGTGGGCTGTCTACAGAACCACATCTTTACCCACTCACACACGTCTTTGTCCGATGCAAACTGATATCCGCGAATGTCTGCCTTCAGGTCTCCAAAAATGTGAAAATCACATGGGGAGAGATCTAGCCAGTATGGGGGATGTTGAAGCACTTCCAAACCAAATCTCTGTAGCATATTCCTCACAGAGTTGGCAGTGTGGGGGCGTGCATTATCATGAAGGATAATGCCGTTCGATAGCAATCCAGGGCGCTTCGACTTTCAGTTTCTGCAAAGTGTCTTCATAGCGCTGTGCACTGATTGTGGCCTTGTGCTCGAGAAATTTGACAAGCAGAGGGCCCTTGCAGTTGAAGAAGAATGTCATCATCACTTTACTGGAACTTGTGTGTACAGCTTTGGATTTCTTCGGTGGGGGAGCATTCACATGTTTCCACTATTGGCTCTGCCATTTGCTCTCAGGTTCAAAATGGTGGCACCAAGTTTTGTCCCCAGTGGCAATACAGGACAGAAAAGCATACTCTTCCTCATGGTACTGTTGCAAGTGACCCAGTGATGTAGCCATTCTCTGAGTCTTCTGTTCCTCCGTGAGTTGATGTGGAACCCACTGCGTGCAGATTTTGCAGTACAGCAGGTGTTTTGTCACAATGGTGTGTATGGAACCGTGACTTATTCCCATCAAAAGACTAATTTCTTCCACAGTGATCTGTTGGTTTGCCCAGATATGACCATCCAACGCAGCAATAACATCAGAAGTGATGACACGATGAGCCTGTCCTGGGCGAGCATCATCTTGCAGTGACACACATCCCTCTCGGAATCTCTTATGCCACACCAGCACACGTGAACGTGACATGTCGTGTTTGCTGTAAACAACAGTCATGCAACGATGAATTTCTCATCCTCCTACTCCTTCAGCAGTAAAAAAGTGCACTTCACTACGCTGTTTTTCTTTACCTGTCTCCATTACTAATGTTGGACAACCACATGTAGCGCTAACTTTACTTCCAGCACAATAAACAAATGGCTAGTGTGCAAGGGCACGTTGTCACTGTGGTGTCCCGAGTCCCCACCAGATGTTCATACTGTAAGCAAATTCCAGTGTTACCAACTTGCGCGCCATGCCAGTTATGCGTGGTGACCCATTTTCATTTGACTGCCCCTTATATAAGCAATTAAGTCCAGCCACATGCTGGGTCAGATATGGAGCATCAACTAGTGACTGAAGCTGTAAGAACATGCTGACTTGTTGAGCCCACTGCACACTTCACCAGTGGTGATAGATTAATTTTGAACAATGTCATTAGCAGGAGAAATGCAAAGTACTTTGAGAAAACCCTCTGCTACTGCCATGTAGACTCTAGTTGTCAACTACAAATCCTCCTTATATAAGGCTTTGGCACAGAAGCCTCTTTTATGTTATTCAGTTTTAAAGAAAGAGTCTGAAAAATAGCTTACATAGCTTGAAACAATGGGCCTGAAAGCAAGGTAGGTAATTCATATTAAGCCTTGAACTGGCTGACTTTGACAGAAATATACCTGTTTGTGCTTCTAAATATGTGATTAATGGTTACTCATGCTGAGAATCAAATTCTGGCCTTTTAAGTATACCAGTGAGTGTTTCCTGTCAGTTTCTCACCCATTGCCCACAAGACATGATGCACTTTTATCAGATCTGAGGTCCTTGTAGTGGTGAATATGAAGATTACAGCCTTCTAGGTTGTAATGACTTGTGATTTTGTAGACAGGTAGATGCATTCTGGAGGAACCTGCTGCCTCCATCTTCAAGGTAGATGACCCTGAAGAAGGCAACAGGCTTCTTCAAAACATTAGTACTGTCTACCAAATTAAATTGTGCCACATCCCAGAACACCATAATCATCATGATGTATTCTGTATTATGTCATACAAGCAAAGGCTTAAAAGTAATACAAAGGTATTTTACTGGACCTTAGAGGATTAACTAAGATAACTATTAACTATATCTCAGATGATATAATAACAACTATAAGAATCACTGTCATCATAATCCTTCAGAGTTTGTATGTTATGGGAATTAAAAAAAAAATCCATTGTCCACTTTTGGCTATTATAATATTATGATGGTGTAGGATGAACTTCATAAATTCACATATTTGTATCTTCAGACAATTGTAGTTTGAAAACTTTGTTTATAATATAGAGTTTGAACAGTTTTTATTAAAATATTTTTCCTGTTCATGATATAATTTGCATGAAGATTTGATTAAAAGGAAAATATATCAAAAATAGTGAATGGAATGTGATTGACCTACAGCATGTGAGAGACAAATATAGTGGCAAGAGTATTGATGTGTGTGTAGTTTGAAGAATGCACTGCAGCAGAATCCCCAGATCCTGACAGGGCTGAAGGAAGACTTGCGAGATCTTTGTGCCCGCAGACTGCGAGAACTTGGGGTCAATCCTGAATGGAAAGGGATACCAGCAGCTACTTTCTGCCAGAAGATGGCAACACTAAAGCACCATCAAACTATCACAGCAAAGGTAATGCAAATAAAGAAAACTGGTTCCTCCCAAATGTATCTAACATAAATAATGTAGCAATTTAATAAAACCTGTACATATGTACTTTTGGAATATAAAGTTAGAAGAATGGATAATGTTGTAACAATTGTTAGAGAAAAGGGATATGATGAACAAACGCTAAACACTGTGCCTCATCAGAAATTCCAATCATGGGCACATAACACAGGAAAGGTTTTATCCAGACCTTCTGACTGTGAGTCTGAAAGTATAAATAATGCCACATTTCTGGTTTATATATGTATATATTTAAGGACTTAATGTTGTATCTTTCTCCTACATATATATATATATACATATATGAAATAAATGTGAAGGTAACTGTGTAGGACAGACTTTCAGTTTCTTTATCCCTTTTCTAAAAAATTCATGAAACTGTCTTGAGTCATTACAGATCACCCTTGAGACAAATGACATCTGCACATGATATGTCATAGCCAGAACATATAAATTGGTTCAAACAATTCCACTTGGATTCCAAAGATAAAGTACACAACAAAACTTGACGACTGAATGAAACAATATGAAAAATGGCAAATCATTAAGTTTCTGAAGAGATACTCAGAATTAACTCCAAAAGAAAAGCTTCAAACATTGGTTCTCCTGTATCCTGCTGTGTTTAATACTTTATTTTCTCTTGCAGAGACATAAGGCATTCTTTAAAATCAAGCAGAAAATGATTGATGAGCTAAACAGACGTCTACCAGACAAGAAGACCAACAGTCAGCCAGACAAATCCAAAAGTGGTGGGAAAGAAGAACCAAGCGGCAGCAGTCAGCAACACAAGGCGGCAGCCAAGAAACTTGTTGGTAGAGTGAAGACGAGGGCCCTGAATGTGCTGAAACATTCAAGAGGCAAGACACAGCTGGCACTTTGGGGAGGGGATAAAAGCAACAGTGCAATGTTAGAAATGAAGTGGCATGATATTTATTTCTTTACACCTCTTTCTTCAGACACCTAGATCAAGGCATTACAACACAAATTTTATATATATATAATTAAAAATAATCTGATATATTATATTAATGTGCACATATTTGGTAAGAATTAATGTGTCATGATATTGTGAAGTCCTGTGAATTATTCCTGTCATTACCAAGTATTCTCAAATATGTAACACAGATCATCTGTCTGCTTATTGCATTTCTCCTGCCATTAAGGGTAAAAAATAAAGTTGATGGAGAAACTGTGCTTAATTAAGCACCGTGTGATGAAGATGTACAGAGAACTGGAGGTATTGTGCCACACGTTAACCTTGGCACTAAATGAAGGTGAGACCCAGCCACTTTAATCCCTGGGAAAAGCCCCTCCAGTATCCATGGGCTAGGTGGGTGCCAGAGCCAAACTGGGCACTATGGAGGAGAAGGAAATCTACCCCTGTCAGTGGTCAAACCCCAGTTCCTTGATTGTCTAATCTGTATTCTATTTGTTATACCAATGAGATATCCTGGCTCCATGTCATTTAGTAGACATTTAGTAGTAAAAATGGTGTCATATCAAGTATTTTATTCCTTTAAAAATACTGAAATTACATGTAACATTACACATGGACATATTAAAATAATGAGCAAAATAAGAATAAACATTGATTCCTGAATAAGTGCACTGGAATCACCATTTTATGTTCCACAGGGGACAGATGTGTTTAAAATACAAAGTGAGAAAATGCGTTAATATACTACTGAAATCACTGTGCCTTACTAATAGAAATGAAATCAAAACTAAGTTAAAACTTTTTTATCAAGGATATTAACCATTTGCCGACCAGTGGTCTGATTTAATTGTGAAGGAGTATCTGTTAGGCTTTCCATGGTTCTCCCTGGCTGATGTTTAGGAGATGTCCATGATGTGTATGTACTGACCGTCTTCTAGTGCACACAGTCTCACTTGTCACTTCACTACATGTTTCGGCATCACTGTACCATCCTCAGGTGTGTTACTTATGACGTGTTTATGACATGTTTATGACGTTTAGGAGATGACTTTCTATTATACTGTCACACATTAGTGACTAGACAACAGGTTTGGATTTATTACTGAATTTATTGGATGCTAACTACAGTAATTACAACCCTTATACTGTTCTGCACACTACAAATAACTACACAATCATAGACTTCTCAGTCTCCTGTTTTCACACTCATTGCTTGGCAGGGCTTCAACAGTGGGGATTCTCTTTACTGCTTCTATGCTCCTTGGCTCCTTTCCATGCTGGCTGGCTACTGACTTCAGTCAGCCTGACCCAGGTCCAGGGTTGGGTCACACAAATTGTTGCTGGTCCTTGCCAGCACAGTCAATCTTGGTTCCAAGTCCCACAGGACTCATAACAGTATTTTACTGTCTCAGGACTGTAGGAGTCTTGCAACTGCTGTTGGTCATCTTTATATAACTGGGAATGATCACACAGAAAACACTGCCACCAACAGTTGCTCTATTGTTGTGTACTGGTTACAACAGGAATGGGTTTACCAAGCCACTTCCTAGCAATGGAAGTCTCCACAGTGCTTCTGTGACTTCACTATTCAGCCTTCAGGGATCATGTCACAATATGTACTCCGTGTATTTGTTAGATGACAAACCATGCAAAATATTTTATTTCCAACACTTTCTATGGCTGACCTAACAAACAAAGGTCCCTCTTGTTAGTGTTATTCAGTTTTTATGAAACATCCTGGCATTTCTTACAAAGCCTGTAGAACTAGGCTTAGCAAAAGTCAGTTGGGGATTTCACTGTTTGGTATACTTTTTCTATAGTCTATCACGTATTTTGTTCTATTTCATAAAACAGGAAGGCTATCTGCCCATTCTGCAAGAGGCTTACAAGAGACCAACAGTAAGGATAAAGCTGTTGTTTCTGTCCATCAAAAAGAGAATGCAGTTACAACTGAGAAACTGGTACAGAATACCAGTATTATGAACAAGAGTTTGAGACTGAAAAGATGGACTGAAGAGAGAAAGTCTGTGGGGTCAAGAACATCAGCTGCAGTGAGCAAAGTGAACATTAGGTATGTAATGTGAGGATAGTAAGCTGGACCAGTGTGCCAACATGTGGGGAGCATGAACTGGATGAGATGATCAGTTCTCAGAGATCTGCAAATGTGACCAGTTTCTGAATTGTAAAACACACTGGCATTGTGTATTTTCAGGTTATGAAGGCTGATATTATGACTAACAGATGTATTCATTGCTCCACAAATTTCATGTCAAGTTACAGCAATCGTCATCATTATCTACCATAACCACCACTACCACACTACAATATTTTGCATGGTCATAATGTTACTTACCATTTTCTTACAAAATTACCTTTGCAAATGTTGTGAGCTTCTCAAAGATCTATCAAAGTTTGAAAAAGTACCATGGTGGACAGGTTTCTAGTGACATCATGTTCATACTGAAGTTTATAAACATTGATCATTAGTGTCTACAGTACTGATGTCCATAATTAAATCAGATGGGCTAATACAGCTTCTTCTTTGAAACCCTAATGGACTACATAACCTCAAATAAGGCAGTCTCAACTGACATGGCAAATGTAGTTTCCTGTACAGAAGCTGATTTGTGCTATACTCAAGAACTAACTACTGTGTTCTTAGATCTGCTGAACAGACCACTACACCAAATGTTACAATGGTCACTTCAACACCTTTCAAGAACACTTCAACAGCTACTACTGTCACTTCGTCAAGAAGAAGTATTCTGAAAGGGTAAGAACTATGACAACTACATATATCAGTAAACTCTGCTACAAATTGGTGCTCTGCTATCCTATGTCAAACTTGTACTCTTCTCCAAGTATAATTAGAATGATCAAGTCAAGAAGGATGAGGTGGGCAGGGCGTGTAGCATGAATTGGGGAGAAAAGGAATGCATGTAGGATATTAATGGGAAAGCCAGAAGGAAAGAACCACTGGGAAGACCAAGGCTTAGGCGGGTGGACAATACTAAATTATGTAAGGTTTGAGGTTTTTATGGTGGTGACTATGAAGAAAGTCATCTTCTGGGATGTGGTGCCGTGTAGAAATTGTGTTAACCGACGTTCCTCCGAAACATCGGTTAACACAATTTCTACATGGCACCACATCCCAGAAGACGGCTTTCTTAATATTAAAATTGATCTTAGAGAGATAGGATGGCATGGTATGGATTGGATTGCTCTGGCTCAGGATAGGGACCAGTGAACGGCTCTTGTGAACATGGTAATGAACCTACAGGTTCCATAAAATGCTGGGAAATTCTTGAGTAGCTGCAGATTTTGCTTCTCCTCAAGAAGGGCTCAGCTCCGTAAGTAAGCAAGCTATCCTATGTCTGGTTCACCATGGCTATGTCTGTCAATATATTTTATACATATTGACATATTCAATGAATGCAGCTGCTGTTCAGACATCATTATTAAATGAAGAATGCCGTCTTCTGGGATGTGGTGCCATGTAGATCTTGTGTGAACCAACATTTTGGAGGAACATATCGCCTCCATCTTCAGGGTAGAAAAATCTGTGAGCAAGGCACCAATGTGAGTAGATAGCTAGTAGACCGGGAACTGGGGGCAACCAATTCAGTTGGGCTCTGCAAGGGAGGCTGAGAAGAGGTGGTGAATCAGTTCAGTTGAGAATCAGCAGTCAAGTTCCAGAGTTGTCAGACAGTGGCCAGCCAGGAATCGTGAGCGTGAGAAGCCAATTTTTCCTAGTCTGCTAGCCACTTGCTCATGCTGGCTCCTCACTTGCGGGTATTTCTACCCTGAAGGGGGAGGTGATACGTTCCTCTGAAATGTCAGTTCACACAAGATTACACGGCGCCACATCCCAGAAGATGGCATTCTTCATAACCACTGCTGTGAAGACCTCAAATCCTACATCATTATTAAATAATCTATGGATCAATAATTAACCATTTGTAGAAATCACTATTACAGTAAAAAAATGTAAAATTCTTTATTGGGATGATGTTGACCTAGACTGTTTTGCTGTTGTGTTACAATGGATCCCAATAAAGAATTTTATATAACAACACAACGGGATGCATCCAATGAAAAAAAAAAGATCTAATAAATTAAATTCTTGTTGTTTAAATTCTAGAAAATTTTCCAAATGCTTGTTCTCGAAATTCCTGTCTCAACCACCAAAAAAGCCATTCTTTCACATGCCTACTTTTATTTCATTTAAATACTTTTTCTTTGGTCTTACAAAGTATCAATATTGCTTTACTACTGTTCAACAGAAATAAAAATATTGCTGCATCAGAAATGGTAGGTGGTAAGAAAACTGTGGAAAGTCTGTCTATCTCATCCATGGAAGAAGCGGACATCACAGAAAGAGGAGAAGACTCATATGATGTGAGTGATGGAGATGAGGTGCAACAAGGCATCACCAATACATTCAGTCAGCCATTACATCATTCCCAAGATCTACATCCACATACAGAAATGAAACCAAATACTTCCTCAGGTGTAAGTCAGGTGAGTTAATTTTTTAGTCTTGATCTGATGAGGAAAGCTCAGACAAATGTCAGTGTAATTATTTCAGAAAGATGGTGTTCCAGTGTAAAATCACATTTATTCACCAGAAATACTGTTTTATTCCTTCCACACCCTTAGCTCCTGTCATCAAAGTGTTCACTGAATCTGAGCGGTGTGCCATCCACTATGAGCCTTGTTTCTCTGTGTGATATAAGGTAAACGTATACTAATCTCTCTACATATTCACCATAACACAAGAGCATGCTAGACACAGCAGACTGGCCAGTTTCAGGCTCCAGGCTCCAGCCACTTGACTCTTACAATAAGAACCCTGGGGCGACCTGAATGGATATGGAGATGTCAACATGGCAGTGAAAATAAAAATCCGTCTCTGAAACTGAATTCCAGTGAGCCAATTTGTGTCAGTTACTGTACTGCCTGAGCTATCATAGCTTATAGACAGACATAAAACAAGTGTGATGTTATGTTAATTTGAGAACAGTACCAATATACACAGTACCTTGAAGCCTTAATACACAGATCCTCACAAGATAAGGATTCAGTGACAGAAATAAACTAATTTCAATACATTCGGCAGTTTCATATCTTGATGAACAGTTTATTCATATAATAATAACTGGTTAATTTATTAATCACTGAATTAAACATTTTCATTTCATTAATTTCTGTGTATCACTTCTTATGACAAACATAGGCACCATCTTCTAATGGATGTTAAAGTTACACTTCAGTATACGCAGCATCATGGTGTACACGAGACATGGGTATAAGAGTTCATGCAGTCTATTCTCAGAACACAATGAAGGCGACTGGCAAGCTACATTCTCTGGCTGCTTTTAGCCCAAAGGAAAGAACTCCTGGTGTCATTCCAAACTTACTGCTGAAGAGTATCCCTACTGAAAATATAAACATAGGCACACACTCTGTAGCCTGTAACTTTAGACTAAGCAAGCTGTCATGGCTCCTGCCAGGTTCTAAAAGTACATTTCTACTCATCACTGTTGCAGTTTTTCATTCAAGCAGCATATTCATTCATCCTTATACAGAAGTTTCTACACTGTGATGTCCGAAAGGCTTCACAGTTGTTTCAGCATGGTATATATAATGGTAAAAATGTAACAACTAATATTACCTGTATGTCAGTCAGGTAAAACTTCCAAATTTTGCTGGTATTTTGTGCATAAATAAGTAAAGCACTAACTTGATCTTTTCAGACTATCATAAAGGATCTCTCATCTGATCTTGAGTCCCCAGGAGGAAACAGAAGTGTTCTCAAGACACCATCATCATCACTGGGTAGTATTACAAAGAAAAGAGTTCTGTTTGTAGACCAGGAAAATGAACTGGCTTCCCAAAAGAACCAAGAAACTGAAGATAGCATGACAAAAAGCTCGTCATGGAATGCATCTAAAATAGTGGCCACCTCAGAACTTCATCAGAGTGCTGAAACAACGGCAGTAAAACTGCTGTCATCCTGGGACTCTTCACCTCTGACAGGCTTAAAGAGATCTGTGACATCTTCAAATCAAAGCAGCACAAGGAACTCTGATTCTGACAGTGACTGGGGGCATTCCAGGTAAACTGATGCTTGAATACAATCTCCAGTGCACTCTCCACTGTTTAATGTATTGTTGGTAGTACAAACCTGTCTGCAGTCTGAAAGAAGACCATGGAAATCTTTGATGGCACTGATCAATTCCAATGTCATAAAACAGTCAAAGACTTGGTCTGTAAGTTGCCTTGTTTCAGCCTCATGTATGGTCGTCCCTGGTTCTTTGTTATATATTACATATTTATCCGCAATTTACTTAACAGTATAATTGGTAACTCAGACAGACTGACTGGATAATGGTGAACTGTAAATGATGTGGACAGAAATGGGCATGATCCGATTTAAGATACACTCCTGACATTTGCTTGGAGGGACTGAAGAAAACCAAGGGAAAACCTCAGCCATGATAATCGGTGTCCTGGCTAATATTTGAACTTGGCACATCCCAAGTACAAGTGAGAAGCATTACTGCTTGAGCCAGCTTGCTTGGTCTTGTCCTGCCTTGTAACTTGTTGTTGACAAGTATGGAATTTTATCTAACACTGATGCATTGTTCATTTATCCCAAAATATCTTACTTTCTTTTAGAGTCAATAAATGTTCTCATTTCATATATGGGAGGACTTAGGTCTGAATTTCAGGCTGGAGACACGCTAAACTGACAAATGTATTTTTATGGGTCAGTCCCACCAAGCACATGCTGAGATAGAACTTTAAATAGGCCATGATTCTCTGTATTATTTCCAAGTCATTATACAGAAATCATACTGTTCCAACAGTACATAACCCATGCAGTTGTATTCTGGCAGATAAAAGCTGGATTTATCTTTGGCTACTGGAAAGAAAATGTAGTAGTCATTAATCTCAAATGTAGAATTTGATTTCTCATAGCAGTGGTTATCTCCTGGGATGTAACACTATGTAGTCTGTTGAAAGTCAATGTTTCAGAGGAACATGACACCTCCATCTTCAGGGTTAAAGAATAAGCCAAGCAGGCATTGCTCTGCTTGCTACCTGCTTCATGCTGGTTTCTTGCTTGGCTTATTCTTTGACCCCAAAGATGGAGGCAACATATTCCTCCAAAACATCAGTTGACTTTCAAGAGACTACATGGTGTTATATCCCAGAAGACAGAACTCTTCATTACTCTCAAAAATTTTAACATGATGTAGTTTGTAATCAAGAAAGGTAGGCTGTTATCTTAGTCCTCCTCCTACAGAACATACAAGAACTTTTAAACCACTTTTCATGAACCTTATAAAAATGAAATCATTGGAGGTCATTGTCATCAACCACATGAACATCGCAGTAATTCAAATTTGTAATGTGATAATGATACTTGCACCATGCACCAGTCCCTTTAATTTGTTGCTACATACAAGGGCAGTTCATATTAAACCCATTTGGGGATTGTTGTAGGGAAGGAGCAGAAGTTGTGTAAAAAAATGGTAAAGCTGTGCCTAGAAGGGGGAGGGGGGGCAGAATCCTTAGGATTCCATTATAAGCAGATTTTACTGTACACCTATTTAGTACAATAAATCCCCAGTTAAATGAACCCTTAAAAATGTGTGATACCTAGAATGATTGTGTTCAAACAGAAAACATGTATATTACAGTTTTCTTGAATTAAAAGACCACATATAGGTACAAATACTTTCCCAATTATTAACTTTTATCATCCAGGAATAAAGGTTTTAAAACTTCCAGCACTGCAGAGGAGCAGCCATATTATAATTCAGTGATAACAGTTTATCATCAAGGAATATGGGAATTAAAATTTTGCATCTCTGCATGTCTGGCAGCCATATTTGAACTCCAGGGTTACAATATCAGTATTGAAAAAATGCAGTGCTCAGACTGCTGGACTATGCAATGTGTCAACCCTAATAATCTCTGCCCAGCCAGTAACGATTAAGGTCAGTATATTTATAGCATTATTCTCTTGTGTACTTACAGTGCGCTGAACACTATGGAGCATGCTGGGTCTGCTCGCAGCTATGGACAAATTAATGTGAGCACAAAGCAGAGTGATAAAATTGCTCAGATTTCCAAGAACATTGAGAAACAGGTAAGCCAGCAATATCACACTTTCAGTCTCTCTCTAAAATAGCACGCAATTGCCTGTCAGTTTAAAATCACTCCTCACAAACACACTAAATTATGCACAACATCAAACAAGTTTAAATAAACTACTACAATTGAGAGTTGACCTTTCAGTAAGAATTGTGAACAGAGAATATGTAGACTTGAAGAAGAAGAAAGTTACATAAAGAAGAGCTTCATAATTTGTATTGTTCACCTAATATTACAGGTTCATTAACCTTTATTCACTGTCCCTTACACTACTATGACAGAAAGTGTGAGTGGTCCAGCTGACTAGTTTTGCACTTTATCACTACCAATACTATTAAATTGGAATTAAATCTGGTCACCAGCCCCACCATACCCAATGATTTAAAATCATCCATTCCAGGACCATATCATGGATAAGATAGGGAGGATGTAACATATATATGGGAGAAATAAGGAATAAATACAAAGTTTTGGTTAGGAAACCTCGATGGAAGAGATGGCCCAAGAAGTGTTGGTAATACGAGTACAGTGGAACCTCTGTTTAATGTGGAATTTGACAGATCCCAAGTCAAAATGCATAATATTAAATTAATTTAATTTAAGATTATCATATCAGCAGTTAAGAGGGTAGGGTTTATTAGTGACAGGATGTCATGTAAAACTAAGAAGTCACTGGTGTGATATCATTCTTCTGAATGTTCATGCCCCAACAGAGGACGAAATTGACAATATGAAGGACCGGTTCTATGAAGAACTGGAACATGAATTTGATAAATTCCCTAAATACCACATGAAAATTTTGTTAGGAGATTTCAATGCTAAAGTAGGTAGGGAAGACATTTTCTAACAAACAATTGTGAATGAGAGTTTACACAAAATTAGTAATGATAATGGATCCTGAGTAGTAAACTTTGCCACATCAAAAATCTTATTGTCAAAAGTACAATGTTCCCACATTGTAACATTCATAAATGTACTTGGACATCTCCTGATGGGAAGATACACAATCAAATTGATCACATATTGATAGAGAGGAGATGGAATACAAGTATACTTGATGTCTGATAGTTGAGGGCAGCAGATTGTCATACTGATCACTATCTGGTGGTGGCAAACCTTAGGAATAGACTGGCAGTGAGTAAACAAACAGTGCACAGTTCATATGGAGAGGTTCAATCTCAAGAAATTAAATGAGGTAGAGGATAAAGAGCAGTATCATGTTGAAATCTCAAATAGATTTGCAGCTTTGGAAAACTTAAAGACACTAACGTGGATATTAACAGAGCTTGGGAAACTATTAGAGAGAACATCAAATTGCCTGCCAAAGAAGCATAAGCCATGGTTCAGTGTAGGATGCTCAGAATTATCAGACCAAAGGAAACAAGCCAAATTGCTGTGGTTACAGGATCCAAGTGAAATAAATGTGGATACTCTGAACAATATAAGACGTGAAACCAGCAGGCATTTCAGGAGCAAAAAGAGGGAATATCTGAAAGACAAAATTGATGAGCTTGCAATGATCAAAGAGGGGTTACCAGCCTAGCAGTAACTTAGTGAAGGATGAGAACGGTGATCTGCTTGCAGATTCCCACAACATTTTGAATAGGTGGAGGAACTACTTCTCTCAGTTATTGAATGTACATAGGATCAGTGATGTTAGGCAGACAGAAATCGATACAGCTGAGCCGTTAATACCTGATCCTAGCCCTTATGAGGTTGAAAGTGCTATTTCAAAATTGAAATGGTATAAATCGCCAGGTAGTCATCAAATTCCGACAGAACTTATTCAAGCAGGAGGTGAAATATTACGTTCTAAGATCCACAATCTAATTACTTATATTTGGCATATGGAAAAATTGCCTGATCAGTGGAAGGAGTCTATTACTATAGCAGTTCACAAAAAGGGTGTTAAGACTGACTAGTAATTATCGTGGGATATCACTGCTACCAACTTCTTACAAAATTTTATCCAATATTCTTCTCTCAAGGTTAAGTCCATACATAAATGAAATTATTGGAGATCATCGGTGGGCATTTCGACCTAACAGATGAACTACTGATCAGATCTTTTGCATTCATCAGATACTGAAGAAAAAATTTGAGTGTGAGACAGTACATCAGCTATTTGTAGACTTCAAGAAAGCCTATAACTCAGTTAGGAGGGAAGTATTATATAATATTCTGATAGAGTTTGGGATACGCATGAAAATAGTTAGGCTGATTAAAATGTGTTTAAATAAAATGTATAATAAGGTCAATATAAGTAAACATTTGTCAATAATTTTCCTATACAGAATGATCTAGAACAAGGAGATGCTTTATCGCCACTTTTTCAGCTTTGCTTTAGAATATGCCTTTACGAAGGTCCAGGAAAACCAGATGGGGCTAAAATTAAATAGGACACATCAGCTGTTGGTCTGTGCCGATGATGTGAATCTACTGGGTGATAATATAGATACCATAAAAAAAGCACACAAACGTTAATCGATGCTAGTAAGGAGGTTGGTCTAGAAGTAAACACAAAGAAAACTAATTATATGTTGTCTCATCACCAAAATTCAGGGCAAAATCATGACATAAAAATAGGTAACAGATGTTTTGAAATTATGGCACAGTTCAGATATTTGAGAACGACTATAAGAAATCAAAAAATGATTCAGGAGGAAATTAGAAGGAGACTGAATTTGGGTATGCTTGCTACCATTCAGTCCAGAACCTTTTGTCTACTGTCTAAAAACAAAAAATTAGAGCATATGAAACTATAATTTTGCCCGTGGTTCTGTATGGGTGTGAAACTTTGTCTCTGACATTAAGGAAGGAACATAGACTGAGGGTGTTTGAGAACAGGGTGTGGAGGAGAATATTTGGACCGAAGAGACATGAAGTAACGGGAAGTTGGAGAAAACTACATAATGAAGAACTTCATAACTTGCACTCTTCTCTAAGTATAATTATAAGTGGCAGTCAAATGAAAATGGGTCTCCACCCATAACTCAAACAGTGTGCAAGTTGGTAACACTGGAATTTGCTTATGGTACGAACAACTGGTCGGGACTCGGGATAGCACAGTGACAATGTGCCCTTGCACACTAGCCGTTTGTTTGTTGTCCTGGAAGTAAGGTTAGCGCTACGTGTGGTCATCCAACATCAGTAATGGAGGCAGGTAAAGAAGAACAGTGAAGTGTAGTGTGTTTTTGACTGCTGAAGGAGTAGAGGATGAGAAATTCATCGCCGCATATCTGTTGTTTATGGTGAACACAGTATGTCACGTTCGCGTGTAGTGGCGTGGCATAAGAGATTCCGAGAGGGATGTGTGTCACTGCAAGATGATGCTCGCCCAGGACAGGCTTATCGTGTCATCACTCCTGATGTTATTGCTGCGTTGGATGGTCATGTCCATGCAAACCGACAGATCACTGTGGAAGAAATTAGTCTTTTGATGGGAATAAGTCACGGTTCCATACACACCATTGTGACAAAACACCTGCTGTATTGTAAAATCTGGGTGCAGTGGGTTTCACATCAACTCAGATAATGGCTGCATCCCTGGGTCACTTGCAATGATTCCATGAGGAAGAGTATGCTTTTCTGTCCCGTATTGCCACTGGGGACAAAACTTGGTGTCAGCATTTTGAACCCGAGAGCAAATGGCAGAGCCAACACTGGAAACATGTGAATTCTCCCCCACACCGAAGAAATCCAAAGCCATACACACAAGTTCCGGTAGTGATGATGACGTTCTTCTTCAACTGCAAGGGCCCTCTGCTTGTCGAATTTCTCGAGCATGGGGCCACAACCAGTGCACAGCGCTATGAAGACACTTTGCAGAAACTGAGACATGCCATAAAGTCGAAGCGCCCTGGAATGCTATCGAACAGCATTACCCTTCTTCATGATAATGCGCTCCCCCACACTGCCAACTCTGTGAGGAATACGCTAAAGAGCTTTGGTTAGGAAGTGCTTCAACATCCCCCCTACAGCCTAGATCTCTCCCCATGTGATTTTCACATTTTTGGAGACCCGAAGAGAGACATTCATGGACATCGGTTTGCATCGGACGAAGACGTGTGTGGCTGGGTAAAGATGTTCCGTAGACAGCCAACAATCTTTTTCAAGGATGGAATTGACCATCTTATCTCCCAGTGGGATAAATGTATTAGCAGTTTTGGAGATTATTTTTGAGGTAAGAAATGTTCTTTAATATGTTTTGGCGTCTAACCCGTTTTCATCTGACTTCACCTCATAGAAAGATGAAGTCATGGAGGATGAGATGGGCAGGGCATGTAGCATGAATTGGGAGAAGAGGAATGCATATGGGATATTGAAGGGAAAGCCAGAAAGAAAGAGGCCACTAGGAAGGCCAAGACATAAGTGGGCTAGTCATTGCTCAGGATAGGGACCAGTGAAGGGCTCTTGTGAACATGGTAATGAACCTTCAGGTTTCCAAAATGTTGGGAAGTTCTTGAATGGTTGCACAATTGAGGGCTTCTCAAGGAAAGCTCAGCTCTGTGAGTGAGTGAGTAAGATTATCCAAAGTTTAGGGTTCAAATCCATTGCTTCCTAAAGAAACCTTAAATGGAGGCATCATTGCATATATTAAACAACAATAATAGTAACATTAAAGATTAATTTCCAAGAAATGATGGAAGGGTGTAGGCTGGAACCATCTGGTTTGGGATATGGTCCCATTTTGTAAACAAAATAATGAACCTATAGGTTCTGTAACAGCAGGCAATTTCTTGACTGGGTGAGTAATATCTCCTCAAGGACCCTACATCACAGACATTTACAGTACAATCCTGATTTAAGTTTTTACGAGATCCCTTCAGTTTGCGTTAATTTTTTCTGATTCAGCTAAAACCCCATATATTTCCGTATTTCGTATTAAGGGGGTGGGTTTCCCCATGCACTTAGACCGGTTAGTGGTCCATTGTGTGTCCCCCTTTAATTTCTACTGTCTCCATACCCTACCGGTACTGGTGCTTACTATCAGCCCCTTTCTGCCAGCAAGGTTCCAACCTCCTCTGGCAGTGGTATCTAATAGTTAGTCCCTTTCTGTCAGAGAGGTCCCCCTCCTCTGGCAGTGGTACCTAATACTTCCCCCATCTACCGGAGGAATTGGAAACTACTTGGGCGGGAAATGTTGCCTAATTTTGCTCAGAGGTCTCCTAGAGACATGAAGTTCTTTTACGTGCCGTAAATCTATGACACGGGACCCACGGCTTAAAGTCCCTCCCAGAGGACTTGTTCCCTGAATTTTTCCACCCTTAAAAATTCCACGACCTCTGCCGGGTTTTTGAACCTGCGTACTACAAGTCATGAGGTGGGAACGTTACCTCTAGACTACGGAGGCTGCTAAAACCCCATATAAATAATTAATAATTTCCCCCAATTTATTGGTTATCATTTTAATGTTTTATCTGCACTCTGCAAACAAAATTCCAGTCAGCAGTTTGTACCTCAGTTCAGTACCATATTTACTCAAAACAAAGACTAGGTTTCTTCCCTAATTTTGGAGTTATCTTCATTCTGAGTGTGAAGAATATGCTGATTTTTGAACACTTGAAGCTTTCGGTGGGTTGATGTTTCTAAGATGCAGTAAATGCTAACATTCATGCCATGTTATGCTGCCAGCACAGCATATGAAAGAGAAAGTAAGACAAATACACTTCAAGGAGCCACAAGCTACAATGTTAGCCTAAAAACCACTGAAACTATGAATCAGAAGTTGTAGTTTTTAGACTTTTGTAACATATATTTGTTCACTTTTTGTTAAATTGAATATGTGTAATTGACAATGGAGGATTATTTTCTATTTTAAATCTGTGTAATTAACATTTAAGATTTTTCTCAATTTAAGGTACAGAAATCTTATCCCCAAAAAAAGTAAAGTAAAGCTATCCTTGTAACAGGCCATGAAGGCCCATAGGGTTATGAGACAAGGGTCCCACATTATCTAGACAATCGGCTCAAAGATGGTGGTAAGGTTATCAGCCTTACGCACCAGCCGCGCTTTACTTCCCAGGAAAATTATTTAATTAATTCCTGGTACTCATTTCTTTTAGAGGCTCATTTGACTCCAGGGCCTAGTGCGGCTGAAGGATTCATAAATGGAAATCACTGTAAATACATGCATGGCTTAACTGCAGGCTCTTAGGTAATAACTGCTTTTGGAAAAAAAGTCTGTAAGGACTCACACATAACAATTTCCAGTTCCAGCACCAAGCTGTCTGTTTCAGTTGAGCCTGAGCAGGTTGAAGCCACCAGTAGGAAGTGTGGAGGCCATGTTTCGTGCCACTGGGAGTGAGAAGATTTCAGTCTATCAGGGCACAGATTTAGGTTCCACTAGAATTGGCAGCTCTGTGTCTGACAGTAACTGTGAGAACATGAACCTCAACAACACTACATCAGCACCAGTCCCTAAACCTCGTTCCAACCAGCCTACTCTGGCAACACAGCAAAATTCCAGCAAACTCTGTCTTTCTGACTGGGATCTGGAAGACTTTGATGAATAATAACATATTTATGTGCAATTTTACTATGGAAATGATTGACAAATACACAGATCATGCCCTCATTATCAATATGATGTCTGTCTTTTTTAGCATGCATACAATTTATTCTCATAACAAATGAGAGTTGTTTACACAGCAAAAGATATTGCAACATACAGAAGCTGATTACAAACTGAGAGCTAATAAAGAACTACATACACAAAGTGAATTAGAAATATTACACAAATAACTTGTTCTGAATCAGAACATAGACGTAATTATGTGTCTTCTTGCAGTTATCAACAGCACTCACAGGTAATTGTAATGACTTTACCAAATAAGATTATGTATTAAATTAATAAACCATGTAATATGAAAACATTATTAACAAAAATATGAACTGTTATTACAGTGCAGTCTTTATTCGCACCTTCATAGTTTTCTTTGAACTCCATACCAAGAATTTCACCATACCAGACAACTTAAGAATTTTGCATTTACTGTGTTACTGCAGGTAATAATCATGACTGCAACTGGGATAAACACAAGAGCAAAACAGGAGACCTGAGAATAAATTTGCTCAAGTTTGTGTGATGGACTGTGCATTTGAAGCACAACAATTAATAAAACTGATGAAATGGAACACAAGTTTTCATAAAAAATTATAAGTACTAAATTTCCTACCATAAAATGGCTGACATATTGGTAATCTTTAGGTGCATGAAAGTGGTACTAACCCATCTAAATTGAAATAAATGCAGCAATGATTTCATTCAGGGAAGTTTTCTTAACCCTGTCATTACACAATGATGTGCTAAAGATTAAGCTGGAACAGCCAGGCTGAACAAGACATATGAGACCCTTATGTCCAAGATAAACAGTAGAAAGTGTTTAAAAGTACTATATGGTTGTCACCTTTTAACATGTGTGAATTACGTGCAAAAAAAGTAAGCCTTTTTCTCTCTCTGTATCACCCAAATTGGACTCAGCAAGCCTAGCAGAATCTGCTTCACCAGACAAATCAGTTCACTGGCAGGGGCAAGATTAACCCAGTGGTTACTGTCTGTACCACCCAATTTAATATTAAAAAACTGCATTCTGCCCATAAAATGTTACATATGTTTTATGTCATTTTCAGAATAAACAGTAATTTCTTCCCTAACTAGTATTAACCAGTTGGCCTTTGTAATGCAGACAATATATATGTTCTCTATGAGATAAACAATCTTACATATCACACAGCTGCAGAGTTTGTCATTAATTCTGAGGATAATCTTATTTACAATTGAAATAAACTTTCAGAAAGGAACAAAGAACAGGTGATTTTTCACTAACCAGGTAAAATTCTGTTAACTCATAAAGTAGCAAAAGCTACCTTCAATGGTGAACAGTCTGGTAAAACCTAATAACTTTCCTAATAATAATGTGACTCAGGATGCATGAGAAAGTACAGACTCTACATAACCACTCAGGAAAGGTGAACATATATCTCTGCATCTTATGACTAAATGCTAAAAAGGGAAGTCTATAAGCAACATATTGATACAACCGCATTACACTGGTAATTAGCAACAAAGCACACCTGCATGCACATGGACAAAGTTTAGCAAGAGACCGTACTCCTTTATCAACAAAATATCCAATCCACTGTACACAGGACAGCCGAGATGATACATGCGCATGTCTTTCAACACAAAGGTAATATCACTTGCAGGTTCTTTAAATCACCTGGTTAAAATTTACAATGGATTTAAGACCTGGGAATTTTCACAGCATTAGCAGTGTCACCATGAATTTGTTCTTGTTTGATTATGATGTCAACCTGAAAATAATGTGATATATAATTCAATAAAACATGTTCCCATAAAGCTAAAGATGTTTTACTTCAGTTTTCATGTCTGTTTCAATCAAATTAAAACATAATATTGTGAAAGCCCATGTAATGTTTCTCTAAAGCAGCACTTCCTAAGCCAGAATTTGTTGTGGCAGTATACATGAAGAAAATCCATTCAACAACACCTTTAGATAAAATTTTATCAAGGATGTTCTAAACTAAGTAAAATATAAAAGATGCAAAAAAAGTACAGTGAAACCTCCAATTGACATTCCCACATTTTACAGTTTCTATCATATAATTTCCTCCATTTCATGTTCAATACCTCCTAAAGGAAAATGCTGGGATAGTACCTTGATTTGGCCATAACCACTTCCTTACACATCCTTTCCACTTCATTATTAATGAATTATCTTACCACTTGATGCTATATAGTTTCTGGACTGAAAGTGTCTTTAAATAACTCACAGAAAAATTAATGTTCAAATCCACTGTTGCCCATAGAAATTTGAATAGGCCTTCACTGTACAGTGTGGTTGCATTTTATGCAAATTTGAAATAGTGTGATACACAAAATTAAAGTCTCACTTTATGCACAAAGTTTGAAACAATGTGAATCCAAACAAATATTTGGCAATACTCACATATGCGTTTATTCCTGAGAAAACTTGTCTTGAATTATATGAAGTCTTCAGGAACGCATCCCTCGCATAAAGTATGACCGCACTATATCAAGTTTGTTCAGGCTTGCCAAAGAGAGAATCCAAGGTCTGAATGAAACTTCATTTCATCTGAAGTTATTTCTGAATTTTTATACTATTCACGAAAATAACTGGCAGCCATTCTGCGGCACAACAAACATGAATCCTGAACTGATTAAAATAAGCATAGATTGGAGAAGCAAATACAATTTATATATTATAAATAACTCAATGAGTATCTCTTTTCGTACTTTTCTTATTGCATCCTTAATGTGGGTTTGTTGTATGCAGATATCCTATGATACTGCAACAGCAGAAGGAGCTATATACAAAGACACCAGGTTCCGGAAAATATGAAATCCTAGGACTTAGGACTTATATTAACTGTTCTTTGTGTACCCCAAGTTGAAATCAAACTTTATTTGTTTAATTTTCATGCTCGCATATTTTGCGTTGCTGCCAAGTTCCTTTTCATTTTACACATAACATATGGCATATACTTTTAAAAGCATTATTAATAATGTATACAAGATCCAATGGAATGGAACTGATGACTGTGTTGTTCTTAACGGCACATCATCGTAGACTATTTTGGTCCATGTGACTACAAATGGGTCAGACGATAAAACGGGCAGAAAAATATACCATATTCAATAATTCGATGATAAAAGTAATAAAAATGCCAGGCTGTAAAGGGGTCTGTCAATGAGTTTACAAAACACAGGCAAGAAACCTTAGTGTGACATAAATATCACTACTTCAATAGACATGAACAGCCCAATCCTGTTCCAGAATGTCAAAACATTTGGCCTACTATAACAGTCATCTCCTAGGAGAGTGGAAGCTATCTTTACTATAGAAGATAAGGGTTTTAAAAGATGGCACATATGCAACTCCATGGTCTCATGGTCAATTCACTCAGTTCAATTTGGTATATGAGCGATTTTCACTAAAACTTATAAACCAATATGAATCTGGCTGGACTGTATCCAGAATGCTGGATTTGAGACATTTACATAAACTTACAGAAGTTCCTCAGCTCTTCTTACTGCAGTGCTCAGATTTGCTGTCCCATGTAAGGGGCTGGAACAGGCTGGCCAGATTTACAACACTGTACGCACTGTGCCGGAGAGTTTGCTCTGCCTGCTCTCGCAGCTTGTCATAAGCCTTTTCCAGCTCTAAGCTGTTTGGACCTGATAAAGTAAAATGAATCTTTCAATCATGGGGACCCATCGCCACATCATTTAAGACAACAAAGCACAAATTCTGTAGGACAAAGGATAATGTGCAGCTCAACGTAACATCAAGGTGGAATGATTTCATTCTGAAGCATGGAAATATGAATTATTGAATTCATCACAACACACATGAACTCCAATTATCAAATGGCTCCATATCAATAATTCCACATACATATGTATGTCCATCATCTACAGCCATGTCCAGTTCCACCAGTCAGTTACCATACTTTCCTGTGTACAACATGCACAACAGTTTAAGGCCATATAATAAATATGTTTATATATTTTTTTTTTTATATCTTCTTTGTTAATATGTGATTTTGAGTTTTCCTCAGAGATGGTGATGATGTTGAGTTTTTGGCTTTATCGTAGAATGCCTAAGTAACACACTTCTGCAATGCTAGTGATCCTGCTGGGTATTGAACCCAAATTCCTCAATCATTCATTCCATAGCCTAGTTGCTTTACTGACAGAGCTACCACTATTCACATGTCGACACCAAAATATTATCAGTACTCACAGAATAGACATGACACACTTAAACAGAAGACTTTCCACATGTCTGTGACCCACTACATAACTTATGTTGAATGCAGCATGTCATCAACATTTCACAATTCATTCCTATGGTAACCCAAAATTATGTGCTAGCAATAAAAAATTTGAAGCTTACAAAAGTTCTTATATATAAATAAGTATAACAATTCTGCCAAACTCAATTAGTGAAATTTAAAAGGAAACTGGATCATTAAATTATTAGTTTACAGTTTACATCACATAAATTGGAGCATGTGAAAGAAAGGCAGTGCTACAGTTTCCCTTGTATTCAGGCATAATGTAATGACTGACTGACTGACTACTAAATTGCTGCTGGCCTTCACCAGCACAGAGTTCCATATTTTACAGCCAGAGAGCTTGGGGAGCCTTCAGACAGTGGTTACCAACTTAGTTTCCCAAAGTTATATCTTCTCAGAGGCTACAAAACAACAAAAAAGGTATCATACTGGAGTCAGTTTGAACTTCATGTGGTACATGTAGCTTTCCTAATCTCCTTGTCTTTCTAAATCAAGGATATAACTGGTACACACTCACTGACTACATTATGAATATTAATGAGTGAATCCCAAATGCCTGCTTTAAACAGATCATACAGTGCTCTATTCAAATGTTCTACTCACGCTTATCAGTCACTCTGGACAGATCAAAGATGTGTTGAAAGAAGCTGAGTTGTGTATACAGGTCATACTCATTGTACTGAAAGAAAGAAGAAGCTGTTAAGGTACCATACGTTAATCAAGTAGACACAGTGCTCAAGATATTATGGCTGAATCACAAGGAAGAAGTTAACAGTTATAAATGTAAATACTGCTTAAACATATTCACCAAATTGCCACACTGTTACCAACAAAAATACATTTTACAAGAACATTCAGTCTGGTAAAACATTTAACAGGTTAGGAAAGGTACACATAGCACAATAATTCTGGCATGCTCATTGTGTCATCTCTAGATATCTTAAGTTCTGACATGACAGGGTAACAATGGTTTCTGTTTAATTATCATAAAGATCACAAGACTTCCAGAAAAGTTATACTGGGCATTTCTTTTCTCTATACAACTTTTATTCAAGACATTTTTTTGTTTCAATGAATATTTATCCAGTTACAATTTATGGCTTCATGTATAGTGTCTGTTCCTGTGTGATTTTAGTCAAAACTGGAATATGTTACTTATAAATCACCAATATCCTGAGCAAATTCAGTCCCGTTCACAACTCCGTACTGAATCCATATTGATATTGTAACGTGTTTGGAGTAGGTACTTCCATCGTAACGCAATAACAGTGAGCCATTGCGTAGAGAACGCCAAAACAATGAACGTGTCTCCCCAGAGATCAACAACAGAAGGTTTGTTGCATAACAGCGGACTGTCAAAACAGCAGAAACGGAACCATGAGGAATGGTGTCTGGTATCCAGTCCGCATAACCCCTATATAAGAGAGTTGGAAACAGAGCCAGATAGACATGTGCGAATGAGTCAGTCTTGGAATAGCCACTGCTGAAGACAGTTGGGATCCAGCCATGGTCAAGGACAGCTGAGATGTCGCATTGAAGTAGAGGCAGTAGTTGTGATAATGCAAGCGATAATAATTGTAAAGTGTGTGAGTGTAGAGGCGAAGCACAATAAATATTCACTACATCCTTGTAGGTGTGAAGTTATTTGTCACATGTTGGGTATGTCATGTGACAAATAAATTCACATGGGTCTCGGATTCAGCGAATCTTTATTGGACACTCACACTTATACACCATACAAGTATTATCGCTTGTGGTATCATGTGGCTTCTGTGACATCTCGATTAGGTTCCAACTGTCTTGTATGAAGGCTCTGTGCTGTTGTAGGTGTTCTGGGGAATGGATACGCGACACTATTCGCCAAGGTTCGATCTCATTGGTTCGGGAATCCGTTGCTTCAGGAATGAGCTCTATAGATTACGGCACTCGACGGCCTTCTGTTGTTCATCTCCGGGAAACGCGTACGTTGTTTCAGCACTGTCTACGCAGCAGCCCACTGTTATTGCATTGCCATGGAAGTATCTACTCCAAACACATTACATTGGCCCCTTCTAAAGGTTGTTCGTCCCGAACAGCCTAACGGTGCATCCTTGGTTTTGTTTCCTAAGGTGTTCATCTTCCGCGTGTTACCTCCGCCCTTTCTTTGGCGTTTTGCCTTCCTTCCATCCGCCCCCGCATGTCACCTCCGCCTTTTCTTTGGCGTTTTGCCTTCCTTCCATCCGCCCCCCTTCTTCCAGAGTGCTCGCCCCGAGCACTTCCAAGGTTCAGCGTTTGTCGGTCCCATTGTCTCACATTCATTCTTCGCTTTCATTCTCCATTCGTCCCTGTTGGGGAGGCTGGTACTTCAACGTTACCAGTTCCTCCCCTTCGGGCCGTTTCCTTTTCCTTTTTGGAGGGGGTCGACCCCTCCACAGTGCCCAGTTTTTAGTGCCCTGTAATGGGACAGCAGATGTGAAAATCTGCTTTGGGATTTCCAATCCCTTTACCCTCCTGTGGATCTTGTTGAATTCCCACTTTCTTCTAGACTGTAGCTGGTCCTCGAGGTCTCGATTCCTGGTCAAATTGTTGCCTTCCAGGTTCATCTGTTGTCTGCCTCCATGTGTCTGTCCTTACCGTGCTCCTCGTTCCACACTGTCCCCGGCATGAACTTTCCTGGCGGCATTATCCTTACCCCGTACCACTCTTGCACGTTGGGTTGTCCTAGTCCTAGAAGCAACCAGTTCTCTCCGTGGGTGACACTTCTCCTGGGCAATGTACAACTTTACGATGTCTCTCTTGTTTCGTGCCACTGCTGCGCGATGGGACATTTTCTTGTCATTTTCCTGCTTTTGCCATGCTACTGTTGCATGGTGGCTCGTCCCTCTGTGGATGTTGGCCAATTTCTTCTGGGGTCCACAATTTTTCCGCGTTGAATCCTTCAGTTTCTGGCAGCGGCGCTCCATGGCCAGTTTTCGGTCCCTGGGCATTTTCTTCTTCAGTTCTTCGACCAGCATTACTTCGGCATCTTCTACGTGTACTTCTTCTTTCTGTGCCGCCTCAGGTTTCCTGCCCGGTGAGGCCAGCTTCTCTTCTTGACGTGCCTCCATCTCTTGGCAGGCAGTCATCTCTATGTCTTTTTTGGGTTTTATTTCTTCCCGCGTGGCTTTTCTGTCCACTTCGGGTTTGAGTTTGGCCACCGTCTCCTTGTGGCTGGCGTCTATCTTTTCTCGCCAGGATCTCCAATCGGCCATCATTTGTGCATGTCTGGCATCCGCTTTTGCTTGCATGGCTCTGAATTCCTTCGGCAGCAGTTCCATCATCTGCTGTGACTCCATTCTAGCTCGTGTGTAAGCCCAATATTTTAAATTTGTTTCAGAATCCGAACTGATCCCGCTTCTAACACCAATTGTCACATGTTGGGTATGTCACGCGACAAATAAATTCACATGGGTCTTGGATTCAGCGAATCTTTATTGGACACTCACACTTATACACCATACAAGTATTATCGCTTGTGGTATCATGTGGCTTCTGCGACGTCTCGATTAGGTTCCAACTGTCTTGTATGAAGGATAGATCTCGACTGTCGTATGAAGGCTCTGTGCTGTTGTAGGTGTTCTGGGGACTGGATACGAGACACCATTCGCTAAGGTTTGATCTCACTTGTTCGGCAATCCATTGCTTCGGGAACAATCTCTCTAGATTATGGCGGTAATGTGTTTCGTCTCATCCGTTGGCACTCAACGGCCTTCTGTTGTTCATCTCCGGGGAAACACGTTCATTGTTTCGGCATTGTCTACGCAGCGGCCCACTGTTATTGCGTTGCCATGGAAGTATCTCGTTCTCAAACATCTTCAATCTGTATTTTTCCCTCTGAGGGAGCAACAAAATTTTACACACATACACCATGTGAGCGCACGCATGTACACACATTGCTACATGTGTGTATTTACCACATATTCCTGAGTAGCAGATTCTTCTATACAAAATATTTTTCTCCAAAATTCTGTTAACATGATATAATTTCTTTTTAGCTTAATAAACTACAGATGCATACTCACCTCTTTATACATTATAGCTGATCTGCATAAATTACAATGTGGATAGTTCCCTTTCATATCTGTTGGCAGTTGACGTGTGCGATTGGTACAAGCCGGGTCCTCACATATCAGCCAATTCTATTAAAATGCACCAAGCCAGCTCAATGTAAAATGGTATTTAAGCAGCATCACAACTCAGCACATTTAAATACAAATTGCTAATTATAACATTCTGGTTGTCTTTGTATACAAAATACGTGTATTAACTTATAGAGCAAAATTTTGGACATTAAATTTCTTAAACAGACCTCTAACTGAATTCAGGAGACATGAATTTCTTATAAGAATGACTCTTGCAGGTTTCAGAGTAGATCAAGATAAAAACTTGTAAACAATTTTGAGAACTGAGATAAGAACAAGAATATTCTGAACTAGATCAATGTTTTCATTACGACCATTTATAACACTAACCACATATTTGCACTGCACTGAGGTGTACTCTACTTATCCCTTTTGACTTCAGATCTCATTGTTAACAAATCATTGTATTTAAACAATTTAATTTTAGGGTCATGTCCTTTTTCACCATGGAAAGGGATGTGGGAGGGAGGGAGAGAAATCCAGTTTACGTGTTGATTCACTGTCAACTATAATTCTGATGAATCAGGTAGTTTGTGAGCTACTGTGTAAAATGAAAACAGTTACCTGAAAATTCTCAAAGTCTCAGGCTGAAATATCAATGTTCAAATCAAGATCTTTCTTCCTAATTTGATCCTGAAAATTCAAGATTTGCAAACATCCATTTTTTTTTTCCAGACAGTTTCAAGCTGAACAGGATTACAAAATACAGAAAAGATGAATGTTGAAGAAAACACTGTTCAGAGGGATGAAACTAAAATACTGTAATGGTATGAACTTAAAGTGTGACAGAATATAAATAGTTGAAACAGTCAATGGAAGCTGTCAAAGGAGAGATAAAAAAGTGGACGATGGACAAAGTCCGAAGACCCAGTATCTCTGTGTGTTATACACCATCATCAGAATCCCATAGTATCTTCATGAAAAAATGGTGCTTAGGTGGAATTCAAAATGTAAGACTAGGAGACTATAATCATAAAACTGTTAAAACACTTATGGAGTACAATAACAATAAAGGAATGAAAATGGAGGAATCCCAAGAAAAAGAATATGTCCAGTAACCAAAGCACTAGGTACATGGGTATGTGACTTTACTATCACTAACATTTCTCTTCTTTGGGTCATGCACAGAGCTCCAGTTAGACAAGAAATTAGCAGGAGTTCATGCTGCTGTGGCACATAATACATCTGCTGGTGCATATGATGTATAGTCATTTACTCAAAAATGTTTCTTTACCATAATTTCTCTCAACTAAGTACTTCTGGTTTTGAAACAGATCCCTGCTTACCTCATAGTAACGATGGATGAATTTTCGTGTGACTAGTGTGAGGCTGTTCTGAATACTGGCCAAATACTCAAATGGACCAGTAGTGCACTGTGGGTTTGAACATTTCTCAAGTGTAAAATGTGAAAATATATCATCCTGAAACATGACACATTACAATATTAGGGAAACCTATTCAGGTATAAGTTGGCTTTGAATTCATACTGAAAAATTAGGAAAATGTGCAACAGTCTTCCAAGTTTGAATGCTGTGGCTGTAAAAATCAACTACAACTTTCATTAGCCACTATTAGGTTCTTAAGTTACAACAATTATGAAAAGTACTGTCGTGGACACCTCAAATCAAATTTAATACATTTTTTACATAAAAACATGAAGCTAGAGGTACTAGAAGTTGTTTGTCAAACTCTTCTTCTGGAACTGTATATATAAACATTGTTGTACCAATAATTTAATGTCAATTTGCACAAATCTAAGCATTCATAAAATCAAAGAGAAAAACATGATGAATAAGGCTTACAGTTTTCTTGACAGGATCATCCATAACAATCTCTGCCTTGCAAAATTCATTCTTGCATACAAACTTGAACCTGAAACACAGAATAAATATTTTACATACACAATCTTGGCAACAAGTGCTTTTGTGGCACCACTTTCACAATACAGTATTCCCCATATTCCCTGTGCTAAAGGGGAACTGATATAAATAACAAAAGAACTCAAATAATCCAAGAGTGGAAGACCAGTCATTTTTGCATACAGAAATTCAGAAATGTACACACTGCACCTGACTTGTTTAATTATCTAAAAAACAGCAAGCCCAATGAAAAAAGTGCACTGAACAAAGAGTGCAACAAACATTTAGCAATTAAACGTCTATGTATCAAGTCCATCAATAATGCAACAATCACAAAAACAAAAACAACACTGTCCAGTGTGACTATTTAAGCTTTATCACTTGAAAACTCATCACCCTTACATGTTTTGATCCCTACGGATCATCCTCAGAGGGCATCAATACTTTTCCCCGGAAACTACTATTACAATAGGTGTTAAATTATATACATACACATATAATGTCTGAAATACACAATGTACACAATGTTCAACTTTTCATAGTCACAGTAGCCTGATGAGTTTTCAAGTGATAAAACTTAAATAGTCACACTGGACAGTGTTGTTTTTGTCTTTGTAACTGTTAGCGTGACAGACCAGAATGAAACAAATCAAATGCAACAATCATTAAAATATTCACCATTTAACATTAACACAATATGTTTCGGCCACAGACAGCCTAAATAATGGATATCGATTCAGATAACTATGAGTATACGGCATCAGAAATAAGCAAAACTGAAATAACAGGGCTTCAAATACAGGCTTCTATAGACAATGTTTAGGCAAAGGAACTGTCTGTGAACTCAAGTCTGGGGCATGTTCGAGATTATTACATGTGTCTGTTCACAGACACCTGCACACAAACACTCTTTATAATATGAGCAGTACATGATGTTCAAAATTGTGGCCCACAATCTGACTTCCCTCCAGTGATGGAAAACAATGTGGTGGCCTTGAAAAGGCCATTTTTTTCTGCCAAAATGCAATATGAATGCCCAGCCCTGAAAGAGGTCACATTCTTTTCAATATTCCTACTGACCCAAACAATGCTACATCTCATTTTTCTACTTCTATGAGTCTGATTTATGACCTTCCTTGCAACCTGCCTTTATAACCAAAGCACTTCCTTGCCCTCAAGATGGAGGCAGCATGTAACATCAGCATTGCCTACAAGAGTGAACAGCATCACAATGTGAATGACCACCACAATGAAAGCCTCGAAACTTGTATAAGTAAAATTTTTGTGAGAACGGAACACATCAAGAATATGTCAAAAAGTAAATCTGGAAAAATATATCATTTTGTTGTGGAGTGATGCATTCTGATTGCTCAAGAATGGAATCTGTGGACTGGTACAGTTTACTCCTTTAAATCACAGATTGAGTCTTGAGTCTTCAGTCATCATGCTGGGTATTATTACTACAACAAATATTAACCTTTATCCTACTGGCCTTTAAACTCCAGTTGTGGCTGCCGTACGGAATTATTTAAATGCCCGCGCTTAGAAATCCTAAAATTTGAAGTCACTTACTAAATTTGCTCCTATTTCTGCAATTTCTGTGATAAACGAACGAAATAAACGCTGTTTTTTTCTTGAAAGAATATAGAATCAGATATTGTAATTTACAGATTGTATAAAACATGTTAAGATTTTTGCACTGGCTCCAAATAAGAAATTCCACATTTTTGTTAATTTTTCTAGAAGAATTCATAGGTTCTCGGAACGGTTGAATGCATGACCACTTGTGCAACTCGGCAACACTGCTCAAGCTGTGTCTGAAGAAGTTATCATAGTCTAAGTGACGTCCTCGCATTGGAACGCGGAGACTGGCCGAGTTATATAAACTCAGATTGTTACATCGCTCTCAGCTATACAATATGTTTACTGTTCTTACACAGTTCAAAGCTAGCTTTGTTTAAAATTGCGTGCCCATATCAACAGAGAGATAATAGACCTTCTTTCCTGGAAGTTTTCATTCGGAGAATTTCAAACTTTGATCGTCGTGTCGTGTGGAATGTTCTAGCATATTTCAAGCCATCAGCGACTAGGTACAGATTGCTGTACCGACAATTCTGAGAGTGATGTTGAAGGTAGCGAATCAGAAAGTTATTTCGAACGAGACCCATCATTTACTCGGCAACCTGGGGACCACCAGACCAGCGTGGCACGAGGAGTGTGAATAATCATTCAGGTGGAGCTGTGGGCAAA